CAGTCTTACAACAATTGCTGTTAGTGCTTCTGCGCTGCAGTAGTACCGTCTAAGAAATTACCAGTTGCACCTAAGTCTCAGAATGCCTCATTCTGCGACAAGTGCAGCTCAAAGATTTGGCCTGCGCCTTTGCAATTCTTCCAGTCTTGGAGTGCTAGGGTGGCATAGTATATTATAGGGATTATAAGGGGTTATATTGGGATAATGGAAAAGAAAATGGAAACTACTATAATGGGGTTATATAGGGTTTAGTGCTTAGGGTTTAGGGTGTTGGGATTATGATATTAGGTGGGTTTGGGATATAGGGTTCAGGATACAGGAAGCAGAGGGAATGTATGTAGGGGCCTTTTGGGACTGCGTTCTTGGAGGCTCAGGGAATTCAGGAGCCAATGTTCACTATTTCGCTCTCGTAGTGAACTAATGATAACCCCTTCTGACCTTCTCCATTATTGGGACAATATCCCTAAACCCTAGAATCTGAACGTCTGAGACTTCTGCCACTTACATGCGGGACATGTGCGAAACAAACAGGCGTCTGGAGGCCACCATGCGTTCAAATTCCAAATTCATCCCAGGACTATGCGAACTGGCCGGCTTAAACTCGTTTCCCAAACCTTTTGTGTTCATACTTCCCACTGGAGGCTCAAAGGCTGCAATCCTGACAAGGACATGGGAGCCTCTAATGCCTGAGCCCGATGCGTTTGTTGTTGTTCCGGATGAACTCACCTGTCATAACTCAAGTGTTGCATAGCAGCACTTGTCCGGGCACTTACAGTTGAATTGAATCAACCCTAGCCCTAGACCCTAAACCCTACCTGCTAGTTGCTCGGACAGACGCAAAAAGGATGAGGATGCAGCAGCACGAGGAGGCAAGGTACAGGGAGCGGAATGAGTTGGTGGAGAAGCCTCTGACCAAACACAACTTCACAGCGCCCATGCCCTGCGACGCTGCTGCTTTGCACAGCCTTAAGTATAGTATATTATAATATACTATACTATAATATGGTATCTTATAGTATACTGTACTATAATACAGTATATTATAAATATACTGTGAATTGTGGCGCAAGCACACAGCGCAAGCATCCCAGTTCCCGAGATCCTGCGCAGTCAGTTCAAGCAAGGCTGCGGCCCGCAAAAAAAGTTGTCTGCTTGCTATTCATGACTGCTATGTTTAGTATATTATGGTTATATGGGGATTATGGAAAAAATGGAAACTATAGGGGTGATAGGGATTATACATAATGCATCCCTGCCCAACTCCAGTTCCAAGCACCAAAGTGGTGGTCATCTGTCTGGGTCTCGTCCTGTTGTTGTTGAGCTTGAGGTAGCTTGCCTGCACCTGCCGCAGCCACCAAAATGCATACAAGCACCTGACACAAACTCGGTCCATACTGGGATTACGCATGTACGGCCACTTACGGGTTATAAGCAGGGTCATCGCAGCAAGTCTATGACACTACTACCAGTCTACAAATGCCAAAAAACTCCAAGCAGCACCACCATTGTCAGTCTCGTGATGACCCATCACCATGTGGGCAACCAAATTGCCAAAGCCCTTGGAGCCCCAACCTTCAGCCCTGCTGGGCTTTCAGTATAATACATTATGATATACTATACTATGATATATATATACATATAGTATTATAGTATTATATACTATAGTAAGGAATCCTTGAGCCCCTTAAGCCAGTGTTTCATGCATGGGCTAGGGTCTCGTGGCAAATATTGATCTCCACTAAGCCCTGGTATCCTGGTTAGGGTTTAGGTTTGGGTTTAGGGTGCAACCCCTAAACCGTCTTCCTCTCGCCTCATATTGCGCGAGACAGTCCAGGAGGATCCACAACGCTTGGTTGCTCATGGAATTGTGGCTGAAATCTACCTGCCGCATTTCCAGACTTTCATATGAGCTATAATTAGTCTAAACTCCTTAAAGAGGGTTATATAGGGGACTATATAGGGGAGTAAGGGAGATACTAGGAGTTTAGACTATCGCTCATATGGGGTTTTCCTGAAGTAGACGCCCCTGTTTAATTGAGACTTCCTATCATAAGGTTCATTGTATATGGGCGTCTATTTTATTTTAGGGCCCTCTTTGTGAAAACCTCGTCTTGCTGCTGCCCAAAGGAGAGTGGGGGAGTGGACCCCCATAATAATCCCTACATAATCCTAATATGCATGGTGTAGTGCCAGCTTACAAGTGAGCCTAAGTAAAGGTATAGCTCCAGGTATAAACTGCTTGAGCCTGATAAGAGGTAAGTTCTCAGTCTAACGCAGCAATTGCTCACATGTGGGCAGAGTGGAGCATGGGTTGTAGTCCCCCGGGAAGCGTCATGTGACCGTTGGCACTTTTGAGACGCGACGAAAACATCCCAGCAGCAAGAAGGTCTAAGAGTGACAACAGCTGCAAGGATCGTGACCCGGGGAGGCCCCTTCCCTGTCACCGTTGGCACTTTTCAGACGCGAAACCACAGCAAGGTCCAAAAGTGATGACAGTCCGGGCACTGCATCTATTGGCACTGCCTTCCTGGCGAAAGCACGAGGGGCTAAACGTGCTGACAGTTACGAGGATCGCGGCCCCGAGCGGGCCATCACTGTGACTTTTGGCACTTTGAAGGGTTTAGGCTGGGGGGGGGAACCATACCATGGCGGGTGGGGAGGGGGGGAGGGCAGGAGCGGGATCACACATAACCCTGTAATGGTACCTATATTCACTCCCCCACTCCCCATTAAGCACCAGCAGGCCGTAGAGCGTCCAAGGTTTCTGTGCTCTTGAGAAGCGCACCAGGGCGCTTGCAGTGGCTCGGCTCATGCGGTTTTTTTTTTTTGTTTGGGGGGGGAGTGGGAAGGTGCGTGGTGGTGTGGGTTACGTGTTAACTGAATTAAACTATGATTCCATGTGGTTCCTTGGAGGTCAGGGGACTTAACAAGTAGGTTCATAATGGGATATATGGTGTTACTAGAATATTACTGATAGGGGTTATCGGTTGACTTACAGGGGTGGTAAGTTCTACCTACTAAATCCCCCTGACCCCCCAAGTACTGTGGTAGTAGGAATACATTAGCATCGAAAAATGAGATAGGACCCGAGGTCTGTTCTGGTAGTTTCTAGAGCTGAGGCGTATGTATGAGCAAAATACAGTGTTGTGCTTTCGGTCGATTCTGGCAGAACATGCAAGGACTCCCCCATCGAGCATCTGACAGGCTCGTAGCAGGAAATGCAATCATGCCTCTCAGGGGCCCACAAACTTACGACCCCATGGAGCTTGGCGTTTGTACTCTGCATCTCGTCGTGTCGGTGCTTCGAGTTGTTACTGGGAATCGATAGTAGAACCGGCACCACAGGTCCCCAGCTACTTGACTTGCAGAAAGGTATGCAGGGTTCGTGGGGCCACTTCTGAGAGGACCTTGCGGGCTTTTTCCTTCGGTCTGTGGGTTGCAGCGCCAACGAAGGATTTAGGGATTAGGGCTTCGGGCTCAGTGTTCAGGACGGGCCTAGAAACCCAAGTTATTTGAACAAGGAAAATAACAACAACGAGCCAGATATCATCTGTCGGGGCATAATTTCCCATATGAAGATTGCCGGCATGCGCAAGAGCTGGGCCAAGTCATGGCCACTTTCATCTGCCCTGAGGGCCTCTTTTTATGCGCCTCTGGCCAAAACTAGGATGAGCTTCAACCAAGGTCAGAAAGAAAAGGTCAGGGGTGGTGTACTGTGTCTTGGATTCATGGATTCTATGCTAGATGGAGCTTGCGAACTGTTGCGGGCCCCCATGCCTTGTGGACCTGCCTGGCTTCTACAAGCGAGGCCACACAAATGGAAGGTATCCCACTCCAAGCAGATATTTTGCAAGAGTAGGGTCAACATGTCAGCACGAGGAGAATCAAGTAATTACAGCACGGCGACGTCAAGTTCAGCTATCTCTAGCCCGCTCATTCTCCACTGCGCTAGAGTCTAAGGGTCTAGCGCGCACTATCTAAGCAAACAATTGGGTTGAGAGCTCCGATGTCATTCATCGAAGAGTCAATGGTTGTGCGAAAAGCAAACCATCAAACTGATACATAGCTCGTCGGAGCTCCGCGAGACTTACAGTCATTCCCTGAAGCGACGGACATCAAACCCGGAACATGCTTCTGAACTGTCAGCTTGTGCAAGGTCAAGATTCGCTACAACAGAAACGATGTCCGGCTTTCATCTTGACTGTCATTGAAAGAAACTTGAGAGAGTAGTAGCCGCCCCCTCCCAAGGGGTGGCAAGAGAACCGCAACAGCGCTGCTCGTAGGCCGTGAATCCTCGGATTCTCAACTTCTACAACATGCTGAGCCGACAAATCAGGCGCGCTTCTTGGAGAGTCGACGTCGCTTTGCAACTCTGGCAGTCTCGATGCTCTCCTTAGCAAGCAAGACGTGACACCCTGCCAGTCGGAGTCATGCGTGTGGCATCACTTCGCCAGCTCTAGCTGAGAGCAGCAAATCCCTGTGTAAACGCTGCACTATGGTGTCATTATAAGTCGGCGAAGGCTTGCCAAATCTCTTTATGGGCTTCCATCAATCAGCATGCGCCAACTGCCAACCAGACCCTGTCCAAGCGCAAACTCCTGCGCTCCGGCTTCAACTACCGGCAGGAGTGGGGCATGATACTTCCTGTTGTACTAGAGCAGGAGTTTGACTTAACAAAAGACCTATGGCAAGATACCTCTCATCTAAATGTCTCTCCCCGAAGTCCAAGGGGCCACCACGGCCCTCACGGAGAGGCGTTGCTTACGGCCAACTTCCTTTGAGACCTCAGATACGAAGCCACATATATACCAGGCTTTGCCAGGCCAGCATGTACTCATGTCTCTGCTAGCTAGGGCAATACACTTGCCGGCTGTAGCCGCCATTGCAAACTTTGGGTGTCCCTCCCTTTCTAGTTCGCTCCACAGACATTCCACAATTGAAGCACGCGTCTTGGGATCTTTTTTCAGGCTGCGCTGGTTAGTATGCTGCAGGCCAGCGACTTCATCAAGGCGGATCAGCCGGCCAGCCTTCTCCAGAATCTCCTGCGAAAACTTGAAGCCAGCTAGCCACAGGCGCGCCAGAGGATGCCACAGTGGTGGAGAAAATTGTCTGCCTATAGTGCAAAAAATCCGTAGCTGGGATGGAGAAAGTCTAATTTGGGCAGCCGGGCATGTACGAGAAGCTCTCAGCTGGCAGGTGCGTGAAGACTTCGCAGAAGAACTCTCTTAAAATCAGTCCTGGCGCTGTTTCCTTGAAAGCCGCTACGTGACCGGCCCACGAATTAACAAGAAGGTATGCGGCAACTACTGAACCTTCAGTAACCCTTTATACCTGTAACTCCAATCACATACAGCTTCATGGGCTTAATGACCTACTATACTGTAGGTGGTTGGGCTACAGGTTAGGCTGGACCCTGAGCCCCCAAACCCTGATCCCACTCTTAAACCCAAAGTCCTCCGTTGATGCTTCATCCGCCACTCCTAGCAGCTCACGGTCGAACTGAGTAAAGGCCTCCAGCTCCTGTTCTACAAGATAGTATAGGGTTTAGGATTTAGGGTGCAGGGCTTAAGGAGATGTAAGGTAATATAGGGACATTACCGCAACAAGCAAAATCAATTGCAAAAGATCGTGGGGAATGAAATGAGCGAGCAGCAAAACCAAAAAGGATTTGAGCGGACTTACGTGCATTGTTGTCGTTTTCAAGAGTTCGCCTTATCGTCGGCCATATCGGCCGTCCAACGATTGAAATTGAATGGTGTTCTGGGGCCTCAGTGCATTTTGGGGCACATCTAGCTGAGCTGGTTGATAGAGCCAGCCCTCGTTTGATGGATGACAAACTAGTAAGTGACACTTGTATATGTGATCACAGGGACACCCAAATGCGTAAGGCCTTGTGTGCTAGATTTTGTGATCGTTTCGTTATCGTCATGCCAATTTTGCATATATCCAAAAAAGTTACAAATTGTCGTCTGAGTGTTGAGCTCAAAAACCTCCTGATGGGAATATTTCTTACGTGCTATCGTTTTTGGGAGTTCGCCTTATCATCGTCCAGTAAATCAATCCTAGTCCATGTTGACCCCCATTTGCAGTGCTGGAACAATATCGTAGTTCAATCCCCTGTAATTTGATGTCTGACAGCCAACATGACAAGTCCTCCCCTAGACTACCTTGCTCTTCGGAGTGTTTTGCCTGTCGCTCAAATAGAAACTGGATTATAGAGTGGATTATAGACTCACCTTGACTTGAGTCAAAAGGGAATGAAGGAACAGAATAGAACACGCGGAAGCCTAATGTGACCAGGGGCTATGTAAGGTAGTATAGGACTACTAGACGGATCCAGTCCTGCATTCCCTAGTGTATTTTAAGTTTCTTCAAATGCATTTTTTTGAAAACAGAGGGAACTTAGGTACACCGGGTGCATGTGGATTACAATGCGAATCATGGGGGGGTCTCTTGAAGGATTGTACAGACAAAATCTTGAACAACTCTCAGTCTTCTGTGATAAAAGCGCTCCGTATCTGAAGGTCTCTGCGACTGTGTCTGCAGGCACTCTTACAGGACATTGTGACAGCTAAGCCAGTTCCGTCGTTAGAGCAGACTAGCGGAAACGCATGTGAAAGGTCAGTGCTGCAGGGAAAGGCATGTGATAGGTCAGTGCTGCAGGGCTGCTGTGATTGGTGGGCAGGTACCTGGCATTCCTGACTCGATGCGCTAGGCCCACGTCAATACGTCTCTAAAAAACGGGCTCACTCATCCACCCCCGTAAGCAAAGCCCGAACAAGACGGCAAGAAGTCTGAGTCACACCCTTGTCTTGCTTAAGAAATCCTCGTCTGACCGCGCCATCAGACGGTTCGCCTGTGTCAGGCTATGAGCGCGGCTTCCATTCTCGCCCTTGGTCTGCCGAGCCTGTCGGGGTTGGAAAGTCCATATATGGCGCTGACGCCCTCATAGTGAAAGAAATGCGCTGTATTCTAGGGATGCAGGTTCACGCATGATTGCAAAGTGTGGGGGAACATGCATTGCCAGGAAGTGTGCATGAAAGGCGACACTTGACGCGGGTCAGTTCTGTTTTGTTCCGTGGCACGCGCTGAAAACTGACAGCCTACCAACCAGCGCGAGCAAGCAACCACGCAACAAAAGATCAATGCTGCTTCTTCTGCTGCTATTGCCGCTGCCGCCCGCTGCAACGCGCCGCATTCTGCCGGCTGCTTTTTGCTGCCGCCGCCGTGTCCGCCGCTGCCACCACCACCACCGCCGCCGCCGCCGCCGCCGCCGCCATCACGACCATCACCACTACCATCACCACCACCATCACCACCGCCACCATCGCCACCGCCACCAGCAGCAGCAGCAGCA